CCCCAAAACCCCAAAACCCCAAAACCCCGGAGGGAGAGAATAATATTGTAATTTAATATTAGGATTGGCTCGTGAATTTATTTTTATAGAGTTAATGGATGGATTTTATATTCAAAAGTCATAAAGCAGTTTTAGTCAGGTGAAAGCAAATCTAATTTGCATACTGGCACTTGAGATGAATTTATCTTTTCAGAAGCACCAGAAGCTTTACTCTTGCGTTTTGATCTAAGTTTTTTCTTTTTCAAAGAAGAATCAGTTTTTTTTACGATTTTGGGTGTTTCTGTTTTGATATCAAGAGATATTCCATTATTTTTATTCCATTTATTTTTAGGATTAGAGTACTTGCTTTTTCTACCTTCTAGATTTTCTTGATTTTTAAAATCTCTCCTGTCTTCATCATTTTCAGGTTGATTTATTTTAGAAAAAATTCCGGAAGTAAGAGATAAACCAGATATATACGAATCCTTTGGCAAAATCTTCTCAGCAAGATATTTGTTTTCAAAGCATTCCTTACAATTACCTTTCAAATTATTTTCCAAAACCATCCTCTTTCGCTCTTCAATTCCCTTATCCCCTCTTTTCCCAAGCTCATTATATTTCACCTTCTTACCAAGAACATGATTCGCCTGTGCTATTCTGCTCTCTGGTACATTTTCTTCCCCTTCCACCTCCTCATCCGACACCTTCCCTCTTCCTTCTCCACCCAAACTCTTTCATTCCTCTTTCCCATCCTCTACCTCCTCCCCCACTGCACTCCCTCCAAACCTAGCAGTACACCCATCAGTCTCTTCCCCACCCCACATTTCTTTCTCCTCCTCTCCTAGATCTCCAGTCTCACCGGCCAAGCCCATCTGTTTCACGTTCAACTTCAGCCTAGAATCCTTCAGTAGGAACTTCAGTGTATAGATTTATGTTGCTCTCAGACATTGTTGATGAAGAACTTTGGTTTAAAGCTATATCCACAGCAGATTCTATCTTCCCAGAACTATTATTCTTGTTAAGGAATGGATGTTCAAGCAGCTCATCATGAGAAATCCTTTCTTCAGGATCATATTGGAGGCAGTGTTGCAGAAGGTGAATAAAATCTTTAGACAATTGCATATCATTAGGGATTTCATAATCTCCTATCTCAATTTGTTTAAGAACATCACTGTCCCATTCTCCATTGAAAGGCACGCGACCAACAATAAGTTCATAAATAATAATCCCAATAGACCATATGTCTACTTTAGAGGCATATTTCATCTTCTTCAAAATTTCTGGAGCCATATAAGGATGAGTTCCACAACAAGATACAGCGTATTCGGCTTCTTTAAGTCTATTTAGCAAAGCCTAAGTCTGCAATAATTACTTCAAATTCTTGTTTATTATGATCAAAGTCCCTAATATACTCATTCGGAACTTCACCAGTATCAGGATATTCAGGGAAATGAACTAAGATATTATCTAGCTTAAGGTCTCTATGAATTGTCTGTTTCTCTTTCTCCATAAAACTAAGGCCTGAAGCGATATTATTGACAATCTTTCTGATTAAATCTTCTTGAAGTCTTCTACCGTTGAGATGTAAGAATCTTCTTAGATTACCTCCATTACAAAAATCTAAGAAAATGTACATATTATTCCCATCCGGCTTGAATTTGAGCATCCTGAGAATATTTTTATGTCTTCATTTCCACAAAGCTTCAATCTCCTGTAACAAATATTCTTTACTCTTCTTCGTCAGTTTTTCCAATTTGATTAATTTACAAGCTACCTCCCGGCCTTGGCTTATTCTATCTTCCAAAATCGGATCCAGGTAGTTTTCTCTCGGAGTTTTACAATAATATACAAATCCGAAAGCTCCTCTTCCAATTTGCTTATATTTCTTGAAGTCTTTAATCCTTTCCATAACTTTTATTGTAATATATTATTAATCAAATAATTCGGACTTTTATGGGGTTTTGGGGTTTTGGGGTTTTGGGG